TCCACCCAAGGTTAGGCAAACCACTTACCTCGAACCAAAGGCCACTCAAAACTCAATCACAACTTTGCCTTTCAAACACGCCTCCGAAACAATAATATCTAGCAAATTACCAACCAAACGTTTCAAAATAAGCCTTAGGAATCACCCACGATAACATAGGACTCAATTTAGGTCATTATTAAAAAGTCAACACCGGGCTCGCTTGGTCCAAACCCAAAATTCGGACCAAAACCCGATTACACATTCACTCCTAAGTCCGGATACACAACTGGTTTTGAAATCCGAGCTCAATTTGAGGTCTAAATCCCCAAATTTCGAAATCCCTAATTTCTACCCAAAAATCTCCAATACCACCATGAAAACCTTAGATTCTAGGTTGAAATCTTGTAAAATGAAGTGAAAGATTGAAAGAAAATAGTTAAGAATCACTTACCTATGATTTGGGGAAGAAGAAGTCTTTAGAAAACCGCCTCTTGTGTTTTAGGTTTTGAAAATTTGAAGAATGAATGAAAAATTCCGTCCAAAAGTCATTTTGATCAGTTGCAGGTGTCGCATTTGCGACCTGGGGTTCAAATACGAGCCCCGCAAATGCGAAGGTCTCCTCATTCATGTTTCCTCGCAAATGCGAAGAAAGTCTCGCAAACACGAGCCTGACCTTCCGCAATTGCGACCAATTGATCGCAATTGTGATCCCTACCATCCCCAGACTCCCTTCGTAAATGCGAAGGAAAGTTTGCAATTGTGAACATTGCTGGCCCAGCTTCTCCTCGCAAATGCGAGAATCAGCTCGCAAATACGGACCCCTCAGAAGTCGCAATTGCGATGCCTGATCTTGCAAATGCCTGCAACCTGCTCAGTTATACCAACAATTTTTTTCCAAGTTCAAATCACTCCGTAGCCTATCTGAAACTCACCCGAGCCCTCGAGACTCCAAACCAAACATGCACACAAGTCTTAAAACATTATACGAACTTGCTCGCGCGATCAAATCGCCAAAATAACACCTAGAATCACGAATTTAGCACCAAATCAAATGAAATTCTCAAGAACACTTTGAAATTTCTTTTTTCTCACCGGACGGCCGAATCACATCACACCAATTTCGTTTTTTATCAAGTTTCACAAGCAAGTCTTAAATATTATATTGAACCTGTACCGGGCTCCGGAACCAAAATACGTACCTGATACCAACAAGATCAAACATTAAGAATTCTTTTAAAACCATTAAATTTTCAGGCTCTCAATTTTCAACAAAAATTTATAACTTGAGCTAGGGAGCTCCGATTCCGATTTCGTGCATACGCTCAGGTCCCATATTTTGATACGGATCCACCGGGACTGTCAAAATACGAATCCATATATGTTTACTAAAAATATTGACCGAAGTCAACTCAAATGAATTTTTAATCAAAAATTCTTATTTTTGTCAACTTTCAACACAAAATCTTTCTAGAAACACGCTCGGACTACGCACGTAAACCGAGGGAGAATAAAATGAGGTTTTTAATATCGGGCCATCACAATAAATTTCAGCATATATTGTGTCCTTATATAGTATTCAATTCCATATGTGAAGTATGGAAGAAACTAATTTAGTTTGGAACTTCAAAACACAACAAAAACAAAAAGGGCAAATCTCCCATTAGGCCTATGCCATTCAGACTTCCATTCCTTTAATATTTTTATATATGCCTTACCTATGAAATAATAGCTTCATTTGATATTATATAAGCTTAATTATCATGTGTTGATGCTTATATTGTTTCCAAATCATATTTAGACTTTCATATCATAAGTTAGCCACTATGAGCCAACATTATATTTATAATTTCTTTTAGCCAATCATTTGACACTATTATAGATAATTGGATCTCCTTTAGTTTTATGTTATAATATCTGTTAGGTATCCATCGCTGGGTATATTATGGTGCTTGCTGTTTTTTGGGGGGATCATCCAGTTTTAAGGGAAACTCTACCGAAATTTTTGAAAATTCGAAGAGTTGGACAAATTTTGAGTTCCTTGGTTCTAAATTGATTCTAGAGAGATCCTAATAAGTTAACTAGAATTAGTATCTCGTGTACATAGACAGTTTTACCCTAAAATGGGGATAGGCTCCTTCGTCCAACTTATGAACGATGAGCGTCATATTACGTTTGCGATTACGTTTGTGGTTTCCTTCATGATCTCTTGATTCCATATGATGTTTCCACATGTGTTATGACTCCTACATGCTTACATTGATTATGCTGGGGGATATAACCCATAACGCTGACGAGGCCTATTGATTATATGCTGGCGGAGATAACCCATAACACCAACCGGGACTATTGATTATATATTACCTGCTATGGGGATATAGCCCATAACACCAGTCAAACATCTTATATATCCATATATAGCTGCAATTTACATTGCATGACTATATATGAGGCTAGTTCAGATGTATAGTTACCTGATTGGGGTGGGGTGGGGGATATAGCCCATAACGCCAGACAAGTACCAGTTCAGATAGTAGTTCAGTTTCAGCTTAAACTTTGATTCAGTTCCAGATCAGTTGCTAATTCAGACTCTTATTTAGCTTTCAGTTTATATTTATATTTTTAGCTTACAATCATACTTTAGTATAATTTATATATGCTTTTCACCCTACATACTTTGTATATATCGTACTCACGTCCCTTCCGTGGCATTGCATCTTATACCACGCAGGTACATATAGATCAACGCTTGAGCCACATCACTAGGCCATCCACTAACTGTTAGGGTCACTCTGCTTACTCTCGGAGTTGCTTATCTTTTGGTATGTGTACAGACAACTAGTTTGGATATAGCGAGATCCTGTTCCGTCCAATACATGTTCAGTTTAGCACTCCTATAGGCCTATAGATACGCACATGCGCAGTTAGTATGTTTTATATGCCAACTTCTGTTAGCCTGACGGCCTTCCAAATTATATAGTTCTCATCAGCTATGCTTATGCTTGTCCAATTTATCATTTTATATTCATAATTAGTAGATTATTAGCAGATTTAGTGATGATATACTTAGTGTCGGTTATCCGTCGTGGCCTAGGCTGGGTCATGACACTCACCTTTTGCAAATTCCATATGCAAATAATGAGAGAAAAATGTTTAGGTCATGTAAGGCCGAGTCAACAATCCAATGACCATGGTGCCTTTCGGGTTAAAACTTAAAAAGGAAAAATCCTGAGGCTCCAAAGATTGGGCCAACATGTACAATATCTTAGCAGTTGGACTAGGACCATTATAAATGACATTAATGCCGATATCTCCCTTAGTATCGGGATGAGGCAAATATGTGCAAGAAGGCTTAGCCTCTACAAGTGAATGTAACGGCTCACTGATGATTGGCGGTTGAATTCAAAAAAGGGATTTTGTTTGATACTTGTATTAAGCAAATCTCACATCCTAGTGAGAGGTAAAAGTTGGGCAGCACATAAGAATGTACGTGAATTCAAGTGTCATGACGTTCTCTAAATTACAACCCAAAGGAATAAAACCATGTGATCTTAAAGGTTGGGCTATAGCAAACAATAACTTAGGCCATTACAAGAAAATCTTAAATGGATCCACATTTATCCTTATTCTTTTTCTTCCATCTACTAAAATATGCTACCATTCATCTCTGCCATATTTTTAATATTGTAATGACTTCAACAGATAATATGAGAATCAAAATACGAATAAATTGAGGCCTTTAGATGTACTAATTCCAAATAGAAAATGGTAATATGGAGTCGTAAGAATATCGATAACTTTTATATTAACAGAGAATTCCAAGAGTTGTGCTCGCGAAATTCGGAATGATGTAGAGTATCCGAAGGCTATCATATAAGCTTCCTATTCATATTCAATTATAAAATGTATATTTATCATCAAATATAAAAGTTAGCATTTTATCACAATGATGACTGATTCATCAATGGAATTGAGGATATCAAAATTATGAAAGTATAAGAGACAGAGAGAAATTGACAAGAAGAAGGGAAAAGGAAATAGAAAGAATAAGAGAAAAGGGAGAGAGGAAAATAAATTAAGTAAAAAGAAGTCAAAGGGGGAGATGATAGGAGATAAAGAAACGATGACTTATTATTATTATTATTATTATTATTATTATTATTATTATTATTATTATTATTATTAGTAGTAGTAGTAGTAGTTTCAATCATTTCTTAATTAAATTCACGCTTCTTATATGCGTGTATTTATGTATTATATCTAACTCAACTAGAATTATCAAACTTTTTAGTGGAAAAAATGACGTGACAGTTTACATTGACTTTTTATATTTTGGATCAAATAAAATAATACACCCAAGCAAAATATAAAAAATTCACCCATGTACTCCACCTAAAAATAAAATCCACCATTAAATAAAACCAACTAAAATGCATCCCTCTTGTAAATGCATCTCTCTTTTTCTTATAAAAAGTTGATTTTTTTCTATGGTTTTACTCTAGTTTCATAAAATAATAATGGGTACAAGATTAAAGACTAAGGATTAGAGTGACCTGTGTTCTTCTTTTCTCAATGACCTATATTCTTCTTTTCACGATTTTGTTTTTATTTTTTATAAAATAATAATGGATACGAGATTAAGGATTAAAGTGAAACCATGAAAAAAGTTATTTTTTATAAGAAGATGAGAGATGCATTTGCAACAGGGATATATTTTAGCGTTTGATTTTATTTAGCGGGTGAATTTTTATTTTTAGCAAATTAGGTTGGGTGCATGGGTGGATTTTCTATGTTTTGTTTGGGTGAGTTATTTTATTTGATCCAAAAATATAAAAAAAAATTATATGAACTGCTATGTCATATTTTTTCACTATTGATAATTTTAGTTGAGTGACCATTTTAGTTTGATAATTTTAGTTGCGCGTAATAGGAATAATTGAATGAAAGAAAAATGACTTTAATCCATAATTTTGAATTGTCCAGGATCATATAATTAGCTCGCAATTAAATCGGATTGGGAAGATCAAGTCCGACAGGATCCGACCCATTACTTGCCCTACCAGTTAGCGTCATCTTTCTCTTTCCCTATTGCCAGAGCTGTTGCACTGTTTTTAGTTTCAAGAATCCATCTTTCAGAGCCCCATTACAAAATCAAGCAAATACCCAGATAAGATTTTTTCAGTTTGGAAAAAAAAAATGGCTGAAATTTCTGAAGCCGAAGGAAATAGAGAAGTACCAATTTGCCCTTCAATCCCTTCTGGTGAACAAACTGTTTGGGCTGATGCTTCCTCCCTTCTACACCTCGCCTGCAATGGTATTTTTTCTACTTTAATCACTATATTCACTTTTTTTTTTTTAAAATCTTGGGTTTGTTTTTCTTCAGAAAATATGCTGCCCCATTAGAGATTCTTGGTGTATCCATATCAAAGTTTTGAATCTTATGAAAAAAAGTTGGTATATGATACTATAGAGATGTTGGGATAAAGTAGAGCTGGAAAATATTGATGTTTTTATCTAATACTCCCTCCTTCTCATTTTATGAGTGTAAGAAAATAGAAACCATATATATTTGTGCGGGTAAAACAACAACAACAACAACAACAAGTCAACAACAGTAACAAACCCAGTATAATCCCACTAATGGGGTTTGGGGAAGATAGAATGTACTTAGACCTTACCCCACCTGAAAAAGGTAGAGATGTTGTTTCCGAAAGACCCTCGGCTCAGGAAAGATAGAGAGGAAGGAGTAACAACAAGCAACAACACCAGCAAACTAAACAGAAAACCGAAGCGAAAGAAACAATAAGCAATAACAGAAATCTAATAATGAAAATACAAGACTAACGCCGAGGGATGCATTAAAACTACTGGAACGAGCAAGGACAACACTCAGCTACCTAGCCTACTACCTTAATTCTCGACCTCCACACCTTCCTATCCAGAGTCATGTCCTCGGTAAGCCGGAGAATCGTCATGTCTTGCCTAATCACCTCTCTCCAATACTTCTACGACATACCTCTACCTCTCCTTAGGCCCTCCAAAACCAACCTCTCGCACCTGCTTACTGGGGCAACAGTGCCTCTCCTTACAAACCATATTTTTTCTAAATATAGATATTTATTATTCTTTTTGGACAGGCTAAAAAGGAAAGTGCGCCAAGGAAAGTGTGCCACATAAAATGTGAAAGAGGGAGTATCATGTTATTGAAGTACCATATATGGTGTTAGTATACTGACCACAATTTGTTTAAATTACTTTGGTAAAAGATGTTTGTGTTGTCAAAGAAATCGGAATGGTTAAACTGGGTTTATTGCGATACGTTTATTTGATTAGATTGTGAGATGGAATGATAGGAGAAGCAACTTTGTTGAATACAAAGGTTGTATTTGAAGAACAGGACATTTTCTGTTTATAAAATTCTATTTGTATTTTTAAGGCGAGGAACTTATGCATTATTATATTGGATATGACATTTGAGTTGGAAAGAAAAGAAGGGATTTTTCAGAAGCTATAAATTCAAATAGTGACCTTGATGAGGTCTTGGGGTCTCATTATTCTTTACGTGGTCAAATATCATCTATATCTGTGTAATTCAAGCAAGAACAATGGCATATGTGACGCTTACACTAAGGTTTCAAATTATTTGGTCCTAGATCTTCGAGATGGAGAGCTCATGCACGGGGAGAATTTTAATCTTTTTGCTGCCATGTCTGCGTTAGAGGTAATTTTGCATTTATAGTTTTGTGTCTTTCTTGAATTCTCTGAATATCTTGAGGATGACACCAATCGTCCCTTTTGCCTTTTCTTGATACTTAATTGAAACGTTGTAGACTCCATAGGCGGATCTAGGATTTTAATTCTATGGGTTCAATATTTATAATTTTTAGCTTTGAACCCATTATATTTTAAAGTTATGGGTTCATATCTACTATTTATTGTAAATTTAGTGATTTTTACATATAAATTTATGCTCCGCGTTGAAAGTACTAGGTTCAGTTGAACCCAGTAGCTATATGCTGCATCCGCCCCTGGTAGACTCTTCTCTGCTTGACTCTGCTCGTATGTTGTTACTTCTGTCGTATGTTGATGATTATTTTTATGCTTCCGAATGATACACTCTATCTTTGTGATACACTTACATGTTTCATAAAATTGAACTAGATAATGGACCCAAAGATGGATTCAGGCATGGTTCGTACATACTATTCAGTAGATGAAGCTATTGAGTATGGTGCTGCTCCTATTCCTTTGAGTTTTGACAAAACAGTTGATGTTCAACGTACCATTGATGTTATGGATCATCTTCTTGCTTGTGAGGTACTCCTAGCTTCTTACACTAAGCGTTAGTTAGTCGAACAAGAAGTTTGTTTTGGCTGATATATTGGAATGCAGGCAACATGGCATAAGGGTTGTTCACTGGCTCAAACTGTTTTTTCTTGCTTATACCTTTTGAGGCCTGATATAACGTCATCCCATGCGCTACTACATTCATATTGCAACGTCATTCGTGCAACCTGCAATGCGGTTGTTTCCACAGTCTCAGATACACGTACAAATGAAGTAAGCACCATGCAACTCTTTAATGTTTAGTACCATTTAGTGTCCTCATGGAACATATTTAAGAAGGTGATGAATGTGATCTATTTCTTTTAGATAAGTGATGAATATGATGTTTCTGGAAATAGTTTAATTACAAGTCTTGGCCCTTTTGTAATTGCAAATTTATGATAGTGCAATTTCTCCGAGTCTACGTGCACCTAGGAGGGATGACTGCAATTTCCATCTCCAAACCATAGAATTGAAACATCTATTCTTCACTTTCATCCTAAAATAGTGATGACAGTAAAGAAAGTTGAGTAGCTTTGATATGAACCATTTCTGAGGCTCCTTCTGCTTCTGCTTTGCAGCGTGCTTCTGCACCATTGATCATTTCAATACCGTTATCAAATAACAATCCATGTTTGTTTTCTGTTGTATTCCAGTATGATATACTTGCAATTGGTTTTGAGGTCAATACCTTTTTGTTGTTCACTGGTATATCATTTAAAATGCTTATTGGCCATTATAGAACTATGAAACACTCAATGTGGTAGAATGTACTAAAGGTATCCTTGTCATTTTATAGTGTGAGTTTGTAAGTTATTAACTAGTATCAAACATTTTGGTGACTGCTTCATAGAAAGGACAGACAGATTCAGTGGAGATACACCTAATTTTTATGTGTTGTACTTGGTGGGTGTGCAATGATGGAACGCCCAAGATCGGCTTTATCCTTTTCCTTTTATATTTGGGGGATTTGGAAAGGCGGTGGTGGTGGATAGGTTGCCATCTGGTTAAGATAATAGGGCTACACCACCCATTTGAAGAATTCACTACACAATATGGATTATGGAAGCCTTACTTGTAAAAGAATATGGATTATGAAAGGCTTTTTTTTATATCATTATCCAAGTGAGTTTGAGGACATTTTTTCCCTTCAATAAAATTCTTGGTTCTCCTCCTCCCTATTCCTATGCTGGTGGGAGGTAGCCGGTACCCGGGGAATAGCGAGGTGCGTGCAAGCTGGCCGCGCACCACCATCATACCCCCCAAAAAAAGAATATAAAAAGTGTTCCATTACTCCAAGGGATAGGAAGGCTTTGTCTCCCTCTCTTTTATGTAGTGCAATGAAATATGTCTATTTCTTTCCTGATAAAAAAAAAGTGTAATGAAATATGTCTATTTCTTAATACCATTTACTAATCTGCAATTATGTGGTAGTTGCTCATCTAGTTAACTCGTCTTAGGTTTAAGGACATCTGGACCTCATTCTAATACCCCTTTTCTTTGAGTAGATTCTTATTTTCTACTAAAAAGCTCAGTCATTTACATTCTTCAAGTAATTTGTGCTCGGATTCTTTTTGTTGTTGTTGACTATCATTGTTTCTTGTTGTCTTTTTGTCAGGAAGAAGATCTCTTCACTATGACACACGGCCTTCCTCTAAAGGCGGATGGAGATGACAAATGTTTGACGATGCTTCATGCAGTTGAAGAAACAATTGCTCGTCAACTACGGGCTTGTAAATCTACATTGTCTAGGAAGAGAGTTACAGAAGGTAGTCATTGAGCATGGTGAGATTGAACATTTTCTTATGCAACCTTAAGCATAAAATACTTTAAATGTCAAACCTATGTTTCCCGTTGCTGATAAATTCTGTACTAGATAGCGCATAACGGTCTGTGCTATGTACTTTTCCGCTGGTGTGATGCTAAAGGAGGGATGATTTTACTTTTTACCTTATCAAAGAAAATGGAAGAATTATTTACATTATGCTTGGAAAACACAAACTTTAATTCTAATTTTACAGTTGACTTCAGGAATATAGAAATTCGTCCAAAGTATTTCACCATTCCATTTTTACTTTGAGAAAAAGGAACTATTTTGGTTGTTGTTTGTTGATACTTTTATTCTTTTACAAAAAAATAAGTTTGGTCCTCCAAAATCCGGTGCTCTTTTATTTCTGTTTTATGAAACCATAGTTACAAAAGCATGACGTGATTAGAAAGTATCCTTCTCATGGAGAAAACTGCAGGAACCTCAGTCAACTTTAACAATGCTAATCTCATTGACAACCCTATGTTCTTATGGGTTGCTTATTTTTGTGCAGATATAGAACCATTACAAAATAACCCTGATTTGGAGGAAGGATTCTGCAAAGCTTTGTTATGCCGATTACGTTTTCGTAAGGTCTTACTCTGTGTTGTCATTTCAATAAATTCTGTCATAGGTCAAACTGTCTTTTTTTCTTCATCATATGGAGAAAGTGTTATCGAGTAAAATTGTATATATCCCACCACTGATTAAAGAAAAAAAGAGTGAGGCATAGTGATTCTACATCATTGCGTTTTTATTCATTTTGTAAAAAAATAATGTATGTCATCAGGCCGTAATATTTTTTTTTTAAATTGATAACTTTTGTATATATTAATAACATCAGTACATAGGTTGTACTGAAACCAAATTTACAAGTAGGCGGTAAGTAGATGTGCTGGTGTGCAACCTAGCAAGATCCTAGTATGTCTACGATTGTCAATGTATCTTCTGTGTAAATCTGTTTACACCAGAAACAAAAAAGAAGAATACAATTGAGTTTGATCTTCTGTACTGGGTTGCTTCTATCTTCAAAACATCTAGCATTCATTTCCTTTCAAACTGTCCACCAGATACAAGTCGGGACAGTCCTCCAACTATCTCTATTAGTTGCTTCAGCACCAGCTTCTTCCCAGCTATAAAGAACTTCATTAATCCTGTGTGGCATTGTCCATGAAATACCCCTAAGACTAATAAAGATTTTCCATAGTTGGTCTATTATCTTGCAATGTAGAAATAAATAGCTAACAGTCTCAGCATTTTCCCCACATAGGAAACATCTTGAACACAGAGAAATCCCTCTTTTTATGAGATTATCCTGGGTTAATACAACCTCCTTTGCTAGTAGCCAAGAGAAACATGCTACCTTATATGGAATCTTTGTTCTCCATATATGCTTCCATGGCCAAACATCTATCTGAAGATCAGTTTGATTCAAAATCTTATATGCATCCTTCACCTGATAGACCCCTCTGTTGTGCCTCTACCACCAAAGTGAATCCACCCCTTCCTGTAATCCTTTAAATGCTTCCAGCTCTTTGTAGAGGTCAGCTAATCTTGTTATCTCCCAGTCATTCAACTGTCTTCTAAGAGTGAGTTCCCATCCTTGATAACTCCACATATCAGCTACTGTCCTATGCTGGTTTTGTGCCAAACCAAACATATCGGGGTATCTTTCCTTTAGGCTTCCATGTCCCAACCAATTATCCTTCCAGAATGATGTGTTCCTTCCGTTGTTCACTCTTATCTTCCGTTGTTCACTCTTATGGAAGAGTGAATCTTCATTATAGGCCAAAGTTCTCTGATGGGTTTCCACACACTAACTCCATATGATGTGCTGACTTTGTTTGACACTCAGTTATTTTCCTCACTGTACTTAGCTTTAATCACTTTGCTCCATAAAGTTTGAGGTTCTTGAGAATATTTCCAAAGCCATTTCAATCTAAGAGCCTTGCTTTGATTCTTCAAATTTCTTATTCCTAAACCATCTTGTTTTTTGGCCATTGTGAGGGCCTTTTTCTCCTTATTCCCTTGCCACAGGAAGGATCTTCGGAGTTTGTCCAGTCTCTGTATGATTCCGGCAGGAATTGGGAACAAAGACATCATGTAAGTAGGAAGTGAGTCTAATACTGAGTTGATTAAAACTAGCCTGCCCCCCATTGATAGGTATTGCGATTTCCATCTTGACAACTTCTTCTCACACTTTTCAATGACTGAATTCCAGATATCTTTGGATTTGGATCTTGCACCAAGAGGCATCCCAAGGTATACAGTAGGTAGGGACCCTACTTCTCTTCCCATTATCTGTGTCAGTTGCTCCATGTTATTAACTTCATTAATGAGATAAATATGGCTCTTTCTCCAGTTGATGTGTAGTCCCGAAATTCCCTCAAATAAGACCAAGATGATCCTTAGAAACCTAAGATTCTCTTCTTCAGCGTCACAGAAGACTAGAGTATCATCAGCATATTGAAGATGTGTGATCTCTAGACTGTTTGCCCCATTCCTGTGAACCTCGAAACCTTTAACCCATCCATTGACTTTGGCCGTTTTAATCATGTTGTTCAGTCCTTCCATGGCTATAATGAATAGAAAGGGAGATAAAGGATCACCTTGTCTTAGACCTCTGTGTGCATGGAAGAAACCTTCAGGAGATCCATTTATGAGAATGGAGAATGTAACAGTAGATATGCAAAATTTCATCCAACTGAGCCATTTCTGCCCAAAACCCATTTGTTCTATCAATTTCAGTATAAAGCTCCAGTTGACATGATCATAAGCCTTCTCAATATCTAGCTTGCATAGGATTCCAGGTTCTTTCTTTTTAATTCTTGAATCCACAGCTTCATTAGCAATCATCACTACATCTATTATTTGTCTTTCTTTGATGAAAGCCATTTGTTGAGCATCTACTAGTTTTTCTACCGCCCTCTTAAGTCTTTCAGTCAAGACTTCTGAGAGCAGTTTGTAGAAACTCCCTATCTGACTGATTGGCTTGAAATCTCTCAATTCTTTCGCACCTGTCTTCTTTGGAATCAAGGCTATGTATGTTGCATTGAAGCTTTTCTCAAACATCTCCTGGGAATGGAAGTTGAGGGCCTCTATGATTTCGTGCTTCAAAATATCTCGGCACTTAATGACAAAACCCATTGTGTATCCATCTGGACCTGGGGCCTTGTCAGTTGCACACATCTTCAGACAGCTCAGGACTTCTTGTTCCTCAAATTTACTCTGTAAAGACTCCTCTGATTCAGAGATTTTGGGACTATTTTCGAAATTGACTGTCGGTCTTCACTCTTCAGGTTCTGTGTATAACCCCTTGTAGAATTCAATGATCACATTCTTTATTCTGTCTGGCTCCTCTACTGCCTCATCTTGAATCATTAGTTGATCAATATTGTTGTTTCTCTTGTGTGCATTGGCAGTACGATGGAAAAACTTTGTATTCCTATCCCCTTCTTTGAGCCACAGAGCTCTTGATTTCTGTCTCCATGCACTTTCTTCGTTCTTGAGGTGATCCTCAAACTCCATGAGGGTAGCTGCCTTCCTCACTGATCCTCCTCTGTCAGAGCTCTTAATTGTTGTGTTGCCTCAAAACCTGCCAATTGACTCATCAATTTTGATTTTTGCAAAGGCCGTAATATTTTTTGACTTTGGGTTTCCAGCACTTGTACCATGTTGTGACAAATATGAAGAGACCACAAGGCAGAGGCTTGGAATTGGCAAAGAAACATATTGCTTGTTGCTTTCAAGAGTTGGATTCTATGAGTGAATCAGTAGAATTCTTGAGGTCTACGGTTGCACAAGGAACACTGGAAGATGGAACAGAAAATGAAACAACTGCTTCAGGTTGTCAACCTATCGGGTTTGATTCTACTTTGAACAGTAGATTGTCAGCTCCAACTCCACCTCGTGCTATCGAGACAATTAGCTGGAAGAAGGTAAGGCTTGAAAAAGCATAGAAGCACTTTGCTCTGATCTAAGTAGTACAATAAATAATTAAAGTTGCAATTCATCTACCAGGCAGTTGAATATTTCCAAAAGCTTCTTCATGAGCTAGAGATCATATGTTCCTACAATCTGGATCCAGTCTTTGAAGGTGTTTTACGATTTGTGGTTGAATTTCAAAAGTTTCAACCGGAATTGGTTGCTAGAGCTCATCTCCAGGTAAGTTTCTAGCACATGTAAATTCTAATGGATTCTTAGAGTTAATTGAGGAGTATTCTTAAATTTAAGCCTAGCTGTTAAGCCATGAAATTGAACTGTAAATGACTGAAGGTTTATATTTTTCTGCTCCTAATGTCATTGTGCACCGCAATGATTTTGCAAACATATGCACATAATAACTTCCGTTTTCATGTCAAGGCATCTTGCCATGTGTGGCAACGGCATGAGTGGAAATTTGCACATCAACAAGGACTTTTATTAAGCTACTATATGTTTATCTTTTCTCTAAAAGTTTTTGGGGAGCTCTGATGTTCAATTTTAATCTATGTTGCGCGGACTCTCCAAAATGTAGCCGCACCCGTGTCGGATCCTTCAAAAATGCACTACTTTTGGAGGATCCGACAATCCTACCACATTTTCGGAGAGTTCGAGCAACATAGATTTTAATAGAAGTTTTTGCATAGTATTTACTGATTACCAGAACTTTATTTGTTTCTAACAAGGTAAAACAATTTTATCTATGATGGGAAGAAAAACTCCCGTATACAAGTGATTCACCAAAAAGTAGAGAATTTACGAAGAAATATGATTCTCTCTGCAAAAGACGCCCAATTTTCTTGTACAAATTGGAATGTCATGGATGCACCAAAAAGAAATGAGGGACAAGAAGCAATTCCTTAAATATTGTACAAGATAATCTTTTACCCTTTAAAACTCTTATATTTCTTTCTTTCTTTTCATACAACCAAAATGATGCTAGTCGAGCTACATCCTACACACTTTGTCTTCTAAGCCCAGCTGAATAGGGCCTCCTTCATTGGCGTGGCATCAACTATTGTAGCCTGAACCATCTAAATCTCTCACCACAAACGAGATACTATCTGACAATGTAAAAGAAGATGGCCCACATCTTCATCCGAGCTCTAGCGCATAAAACACCAGCCGTTATATGTAATCATCGTCTTCCTCAAGTTTTCAGCTGTTAAAATTGCTCCCGTTGCTGCCAACAAAGTGAAGAAATGCCAACAAGGTGAATAAACACACCTTTCTTGGAGTCTTCGGAATCTTAATCCATTGATGTGGAAATGTTGATTCCTCTCTGGTCAATACTTTACTATAATAGGACTCTATTGAAAACAATCCACTACTCCCCACCTCCTACCTCTCAGAATCCTGGTTGTCATGCAATATAAGAAATTTCACCACCTCCCAATCTTGAAGGTTCTTCCTAAACCTTATCTCCTAATGAAACTCCCATTCCTGTAACCTCTGAACCTGTTGGATTGCCATCCTCCTTTTTGCTTGAAATACTATAGATATTAGGAAATGTGAATCTCAAAGCATTATCCCCCCACCACCTATACCTCCAAACACTAATTCTGCGCCCTTTTTCCACCCCTTTAAGTGATGTTGCCACTAAATTCTTCCCATGCCTTCAAAGCATTCCTCCACAGTGTGCACACAGAAAGGGAGTATGATATTTTTGTCCTCCAATCCCCTTCTACAATCCCATATTTTTTGCTATCACCTCCCACCATAGAGCATGATCCTCTATCTCGAATTCTACATAGTCATTTCCTTAATAGGGCGTTGTTAAAAACCCAGGGATCTTTCACCCAAGGCCGCCACAACTCTTTGGGGTTGTAACAGTCTCCCAACCAACCAAGTGAAACTTTCTAGTGCCATTTGCCAAGTGACATAGGAAGTTTTTTTTTTAAAGTTTTTCCAGTTCACCTGTAACATAGGCAGGTGCTTATAAAAAGTGCACAAAGTATGTAGGAGTGCTCGATAATGTGCTCCTGATTCCCCCCCAAAATTAGTTAGACAAAAAGAAAAGCAACTTGGACAAAAAAAGAAGTGACTTGGACAAAAAGAAAC